AAGTTGTATCTGCCAGGGTGTCAAGATAGGGTAAAAGATGGGGTTCTAGAAATTCGTGGATATAACGCTGCGCGTTCACGTTACCTCTGATGAAGATTAAAGGTGACCTGGAACCATAAGCTATAGCACCCCAAACCATAACTCCAACAGTGTGATGAACATGTCATTCAACAAAAAACTGTGGATTCCTCCTTTCACCACGTCGCCTTCTAACCCTGGCACGACCATCGCGCATGCCTAAACAAAATCGAGACTCGTCACTAAAGACAATACTGTTCCATTCCTGATCCCAGAGTGACCGTTGCCTGCACCACTCAAGGCGATTACGTCGGTGTTCTCGAGTTAAAGGGAGGATCCAGTGTGGCCGGTATGAAAACAAGCCAAAACTTCTCATTCGTCGGTAAACACTTCGCATGCCAATAGGTCTTCCGTGTTCTGCAAACCATTCATTTGCAATGGACCTGGTAGTGGAGAAACCGTCCCTTAAGGCCAATAATCTTAGGCGGCGATCATCACGGTCTGTTGTTCTACGGCGGCGTCCAGTGCCCCTTGCTCTTTGCGTACGGCCGTCTCGAAGCCAGGCCTGACAACACCTAACCACAGTGGCTACACTTCTTTACACTCTAACTGCAATACCCCGAAAAGAAAGTCCAGCTTCCCGAAGTCCCACTATACGGCCCCTATCAAACTCACTAAGTTGACGAAATCGTACAGGTCTCCGTACTCTAAGCATCGTAACCGATCGTAAAGGATGTCAAGAACCAAAATCCGCCAACGTTGATTCTTTATTGCGGCTGAAATATTCATTTTTAGAGCGTTAGTGAATTAAAAAAAGCAGTATAAAAACCGGAATGTCCAACTGATAAGGCTGAACATTTTTTCACTTGTTATTTACAGTAAGATAAATACATTCACCAACTTTTATTAAAATAAAACCATTTAAACTGGGTGTTCGGATTTATATGTCACTTAGTATAACTTACATCTCTACCTTATAAGTCGATCTCGCAGAAGTATTACAAGCAAAAATACTATTATTCCTGCTGATAGCATACAAGAAATCCTGACAGTCAAATTCACACCGATACGTCTGAAGATTGCCGTCAACTACTTGTGAGTGTCGCCACCAACATTAATACAACTGTTATCTAAGTTGAAGGATCACTCACAATCGATTGAAAATGTCACAGGTGATTGACAGAAAAGATTATTGAAGCCAATTCTGATTTCTGACCTCTTTCGCATTCTATCTATTGAAACCATGAAAACTGTTTTAAAAAATAAGTGAACGTAGTATAGCCCATCCTTGGGATCATTATGTATTCATAAGCAAAGAGTGTGCTTCTTGAATGTTTAATTATTATTAAAAATCTGTTTGCAGAAGCCGGACGTATGTACCTTACGTACATACAAAACCAATAGCGATACCGTAAGAATAAGGTACTATCGTTTAAGCAGCAAACAACTTCAGTGATTTATATAGTAAACAGCGTCGTTAGGTTCATTTTGTCCATATATGCAAGGAGCTGAGTGACTTCGCATGATCGTTACTCGAAGAATCGAATAAAAAACATGCGAATGTCGTTGTGCAAATCATTCAAATTGAAATCTCTACTGTCATGCTATCAAGAGGAAGCAAAACAGAAATCTTTAAGTGCAGTAAAGATGTTAATAAGTAGATTGGGTGGCCCCTCATATCTGTTTTTATACAGTATGGGCTGCAAACAAATATGCGTACATCTATAAATTCTTCGAAACAAAAGAAAGTAGCATTACGTAGATTGGCTGTGAGCTGTCTATAGATGAAGTGTAAATACAGTACTGCAAACTTTGAAGCCGTGCCCTTACCGTCAATGAGCTTCGGAAATGTTTAAAACAACTGTAGTTAATTTTTTAAGGTCTTCCAGTGCTTATAATATCTACAGAATTCTTCAGCGCCTGGCAAGATTCTTGATCATTCAAATGCGTGAAAAATCCAGTCTACACTCTTATTTTATTTTTTTGTTACGAACAAATGCAATGTGAAGGGTTGCCAAGCGTGGCGATTTCTTGCCAAAGTGGAAACGTAGCCGTTTGAAATGGCGACTAAGAAGGATAGCTCGGTGACTGGCTACTTTAGTAATGCAAAGTATCCGGCAAAATGGCAATACCTCGCTATTATTTTTGTCAAACGTGGGAGTACCACCCAGCGGATATCTAAGGCGGGCCAGAATGTAAGCATGTTGTATGCACCCATGTCACCTCGCTAAAGCCCGAGTGCTGTCCCTCTTCGCCCTATGGCCCCACGGTAGCCTTTGTTTGTTTAAGCTTTAGGCCTCCGTGCTGGCTAGAATAGAAAAAATATTTCGTAATTAATCTTTGCGCAACACTGTATGGATTCATGCAACTGTGCTCTTAAGTATGGTCAATTGTCTATTTTAACCTCAAGGTGTTACGTTCCCTGCATATCAACAATATCGCACTCTTACACTTTCAATACTTTCACACCGTTTTGCGATTCACACAAGTTATCACACTTTCATAGGTACGTGTAGATACACTGTTTAGCTTGGTTTGTTGTATTGGTTTGCGGCAAGCATTTTTGCTTAATGACAAGACACTGTGTGCTGCTGTCAGACAAAATGAAAAACTGGTTCAATTATGATATTTTACAGTTTCTGTGTGCATTTTTCATTGTGTTTATACTGAAGATAGGGTGAACCAAAGGGTATGTCTGATGTCTGATGTACGTTCTTCCTAGCAAACATTGGATGGGTATTGAAAACTAGCCAAACGCTTGTAGAGGCCTTAAGCTTGCATCAGCAAACGACAAGCATGTATGAATGAATCGTAAATTTAGAAGTATTCCGGCCACCAAAAGGAGCCCGCGCATAGGCCGTTTAAACCGGCCCTTATGTACCTCTATATTTCTTAGATCGCAAGCCTCGCCTTTCTAGCGAAGTTGACGTCCTAGGAGTCCAATGGTATCGACGCCAGTATAGTCTGCCTGTAGTAGCTCAGAGCTCCACAGCGACACAGAACGTGCGCTCAGGTCTCTTTCTTTACCCCGCAGAGCTCACCCAAGGGATCCTCAGCCACTCCATCACGTGCACTTGGCGTCTTAACAGTCCCACCAGCAAACTTAGGTTGACTCTAAGATAAGCAGAAACGTCGATCCTTAGCGCTGGGTCCTACAATAAGTTCCCGTGCCCGACGGAGATGTCTGGAGATACTTCTGCGAGTGTTATCTTTTCAACCCATTTCTCCATTTTCGTCCTGACTCTTTGCGCGGGCACTCCTAAGGCTGGCTCAGGACTATCGAGTTTGCTGGCTGATCCTGTCTTCGCCATAGCACCCGCCGTCTCATTGCCCTGTACCCCAGTGTGTCCCTATACCCACATTAACGATACCGGAAGCCGTGCTGCGAGACAATCCAGAGCCTTCCTGCATTGCAGTAGAAGGCTCGAAGTAATCTTATCGGCACTTAGTGCCTTCATTGCAGCCTGGCTGTCGGAGAAGATTGTTATACTTCTCCTAGACACTACATGCTCCAAAATTCAGGATACACAAGCCACAATCGCAAAGATTTCCGCCTGAAAAATAGTGGTATAACTCCCAAGAGGCAGAGACAGCCTAGTTCTAGGCCGAGAGACTCCAGAGCCAGAGCCCTCTTCGGTGACCGAGCTGCCCGCGTACCAGACCTGCCCACTCACTCCGGAGAGTTTCCGGCCACCGGCGACCCACTCCTCCCGCGTTGGATATACCACACTAAACTTTCGGTTTGAGCGATATGTAGAAGTAATGAGGCCACGCCTGCTTAGAAGGACGGGGCCCTCGCTTTGCAGTTTGACTAAGATGGCAGTATGACCCTTGACAGGATTCAAGAAGGCCCAGCCGCCCTGACTCCACATTCGATGTGCGACTACTGTCGCTTCACCGCGGATTACTAGATCCAACGGTGGAAGATGCAGCAGAGCTTCCATTGCACCCAATGGCGTTGTTTGCACGGCGCTTGTAATGCTAACACAGGCCAAACAGTAAATTTTATTGAATTTGGCCTTAGTTGTCTCAGTTCTAATGCAAGGCCACCAGATTAGGGAGCCATACAAGAGAGATGGACGTACTGTCATCGTATAGACACAGTGTACCACTTTGAGTTCAAGCCCCCACCTTGCACCAACTACACATCTGCAGGCCCACATTGAATTGTGAGTCTTGTTAACTTTGAATTCAACATGCTCTCCAGTTCAGTTTGCAGTCCAGGATAATTCCTAGATATTTTACTGACTGGGATAGAACTAATCTAGTTCCAAAGATGGTCGGCAAGACAAGCCCGTCAAGATTAGTGAATAAGTTCAGCTCGGTATTTTCAGCGTTGACAGAAAGATCGACTTCCCTACACCACGATTCCACAAAGCGCAGAGCGCCCTGCATAATTTCAGAAACTGTTCTACAGAAACGACCTCTAACTACTATGCTTAAGTCATCAGCATGAGCTACGCTGACGCTGCAGCGTACGTCATTCAGCAAAGCTGTTGCTACCCGACCTTCCAGAGTAGATAGGACCCAATCTACTAGGATTGATCCAACTCATGTCTGATAGAATCGGTTGAAGTGCAATTAAATGCACCTTCAATATCCAAGAAGGCCACAAGTGGTTCTTCTCACAACCATGTAAATCCGACGTGATTGAGATTTTGGCATATGTTGAACAGGAATTTATAAATTTAGATCCTAATGCCTGGCTAATCCTGTTCAACGCTAACGAAATTTACAGAAAGATGGTTATAACCTACTACTCACATCATCAGAAAAACGGCGCATGAGAAGTGTATGGCGCAAAGAAACTTGTATTTTAGGCTCAGTCACCTTCATGCTGATATTTTTATTGGAACGGATTTCTGATCCGCCTTAACGCTTAATCGAATAAGTAATGAGTAAATAAATAAAAAAATAATTCATAGTAGAGATCTTTATTTGTAAGCAGTTTAGCATATTTACATCATTTACGTGCATAAAGCGAGCTTTGGTAAGTGATGAGAATGTGTTAGGTATGCTTATTTGCATATTACTAAAATTATTTACATTATCACATAAAATTTTATTGGCTTCAAAAATATAAAGAAAGTGAAAGAGAACATCATTTATACCTCGTGTCAAATGACCTATTGCATATTTTCTTAATCCAGCGCATTGGAATACATAAGTTTACAGTGACTAGAAATTAATCCATACTTTTTGGAGCCAAGAATTACATAAACTGGAATAAAAATAAAAGTAAAAATTGGTAAGAATATTGTCCCTATAGATGTTTGCAGAGTCTCGTTTGATGTATATATTGATTTATAGGAATCAAAATATTGCACCAGCCTTGAGATATGTTACCTATATAACAAGAATTCGTGTCAGACGCATGTTGAGCGACATGTACCTGTAGCTTGCGTAAATCGAAACTTGTCTGGCTGCACTTGCAAAATGTCACAACATGTCTGAACATCTGACACATATTGCACAACATGCACGCGTACACATTTACTTCGATAGCCACAACATGTTATCCGTACAAAAGTTCCAGTAACGCATTCTAACCAGAAATGTTCGCGACGCAACCTGCACCACATGTCACATGTTACATACTGTACAAATTTCTGGCACATCTCACAGAGCAAACTTGTTCTCATGGATAGGTAGGTACCTTTATAGACATCTACTATAGATCAGTAGCCCAAACCAAAAAAGTAAAATGGCATCACGGCTCGCATTATTAGATACTTTTTACTCTTACTTACTCTTACTGCTTAGTATGTGCTCTTTAAATGTATAACTGATATTCCCTTCTCACTTATATTAAGCATCTACACCCCTCTATCCTAACAGTGGAGCAGGATACGCGCTGTAGGCAACAGGAGCTATGGCAGGAGCATAGGCTGAAGCATAGGCTGGAGCGGCAACCAGCGGCGCCGCAAGTGGGGCTGATATGGCGTGGTTGATGACGTGTGCATTGTAGGATGAGGCGTAAGGAACAGAGTAGGCTGCGGGTATCGCTGCTGGGACTGCTGGCAGCAAGCCTCCCAAGCAGCTGCAGAATAGAGCTGCCATTATGAAGACGGTCAACTGGAAATGAAAAATGAAGTTGAGTAGATGCATCGAGTACCTAATTATGTCTCAGTCAGAAATAGTAGAACAAGTGGCGACAAGATTTTTCCACCCTAAGATCCTTTCGCTCATTACTATTATTACTACTTATACCCAGAAGACTACAGGCAGATCTACAGAAACGAGTAATCGGGATTCTTATCCGAAATTTGTGAAATTGGGCAACAAAATACTTGCTTGTGCATGAAAAGTAAAAATGAAGCTATCATACAATGATCTAAAAACCTGGTTCTAATGGTAGTACTCTCAGTATCTCTCTGACCTCTGACGAATGCAGCAACATTTTATTCATTTCACATTGTTTTGGTGAGATAGAAATACTTTCAAAATTGATATCAAATGAAAACGAGATAAACTTACCGTCACTTTTGAAGCCATTTTTCAATATGTGATTTGTGATTGTCTAGAAGACTATGCCACCATTGTTCGTTCTGATAGTATTTATAGTGAGCAACGTTTTCGACAAAGTGGGGTCCAAAACTCATTTGAAATGTTAATGATTTGTCAATAATTAAGTTACGCTATTAACACTTTCGTAGAAGGTAGGTATTACACATACTTTCATTAGTATTCTGAGTATTCTGTGACACTCTATTCGCTTTTGGTGACCCTAAGAAATGAATTACATATACACTAAATATAATGTACATTTGATCTACAATAAACTATACGCTCCGTTCAGCAGGTATACTCAATGACAAAGAAAACAGGACAGCCTGTAAAAATTATTTGACTTGAATGAAATCTTATATGCAGTTAGACATTCCGTTCAGCAGGTACACCCAATGTCAAAGAAAACAGTACACCCAGTAGAAATTATTTGACTTTAATGAAATCTCACATGCAGTTAGACATATGTAAGTATGAGAACGTCGTGATTAAATTTTTAAGTTAAAACATTTGCAATATCACTGGATATTGCTAATAATGAGTTGAGTCACCCCAATACCGTATACAATCGTTCAGTTGTCCTTTCTGAGGAGGTGATTCCCCATCCCATTCCAAGCTACCTGTACTTGGTTCCGAATAGCTACTTAAAAGGATGATTCTTCCCTTCATTTACCGCATATGTTCAATGCCCAAAAGGCCTGTAGATCTAGGAAGCTAAGGAACGAGGCTGACTTGAGCATTATTGAACCTGTTTATTGCAGCTCTAGCAATATGGCGGAGCCAGGTACACAAGGCTGATCACGTTCTTAGCAAAATTTCCAATTTTCAGGCGAATTATCAATTCGTTGCTTTGATGACTAGTTTTGGGTTCTATTCTATGCAGTTATACAAAAAAATTATACAAGATGGTGCATAGCCGCAATCTGGAAATTTTAAACTGCTATTTTTTATTAAACTAGCTGACCCGGCAGACGTTGTCCTGTCTTAGCTATGAACTGGGATGAATATTGAATAATAAAAGGGTAAATATATGGAATGTAGGTAAGTGTTTGAACCGACATTTGGAAGCACTGCCATTCCCCCATCAACTTACCTTGAAAGTAGGCACTATGTCGAATGAATTTTGTTGCGCCAAATGACGTCATTTGAAAGAAATTATTGTATTGCTGGATGTGAGTCAAGAAAATGTATAGAATCTGGCCGAAACTTGTGAATGTAGTAGCTCTGGTGATGGTACCAATGGAATCAATTTGATGTTTCCACCGACGCAACATAATCCAGGGGCTTCATTTTTTAACTTCAAAGCCTTGCAATGTGGACTCACAACGTTCATTGGTCCAATAGCAACGATTTTTTGTGAACTGTAATAGATTGCCACGTCTTAATTGATGCAGCTCGATTTCACAATTTTCATATAAGGTGTGTTAATTATTTTTAAACAAATACTTCACAAAAAACTCACTGAACAAACTGAAAACTGGTTAAAAGCTCTAATCGAATGGACTGTGCTCAACCAATTGAATAAAACAATATTTCTTCAGCAGCACTATCAAACGACTACATAAATTTGCGGCGTGCGAGCTATCAAGTTCAAAATGATAGAGTACTGAAAGTCAATTAAGCAAAGGAAACGTATTTTCATCCGCTTTTTGTTTATAGAGTTAACTGACAAATATAACAATTAGGCAACACTGTAGTTTCTTCCCTACATCCAATTTACCATTGAAAAAGAAGATGAGAACCTGTCTGTCCCCTTTCTAGACACAAGACTCATCCGCACCAACAACAACAGTTTATTGGTAGACTGGTACCAGAAACCTATGGCCTCAGGTCGGTTTCTCAATTTTAGGTCATACCATAAGCTAGGGATTAAAATCAATTTGGTAGAACAGATGAAAACAAGGGTAATCAGCATCTCAGATAATACTTTCCACACCTCAAATTTACGTAAACTATCAAAACTGTTCATCAATAATGGTTATCCGAAGTGTCTGATTAACAAGATCTTATTTAGTTCACCTTCCAATATTTTACCGAACTCTGATGATGCAGGTAATAGTCGCACAACCCCTAATAATGGAACTGATGTAATTCCCAATAATAGCATCAATCCAAACAGTACAAGCACCAACCCGGACTCCAGACCTGGTTTTGCTGTCCTGCCCTATATCAAGGAACTGACCCCTAAGCTGATCAGATTGTGCAGTCCTTTAAACTTTCGAATTGCTTGCAAATCCGTCCTCACTATAAACTGCATTTTTTCAAAAATGAAAGACAAAGTCCCGCTGCTTGGCTTAACCAGCACAGTCTACTCCATCATTTGCAACAATTGCAACCAAATATACATAGGTCAGACCTCCAGATCTGTTAAAGGAAGGATTACAACACACAAAAGTGATTCTAGGCTTCATCCTGAAAGATGCACTCTAGCATCTCATCTTAACACAACAGGGCATTCTATGAATTACACAAGTATCAAAGTTCTTGATAAAGAAAAACACCTTTCCAAACGTTTATTCCTGGAAATGTCCCACATTTTCATGAATAACAACTCTATCAACAAAAAAACAGATGTTGTCATTTACTCATATTTGCGTAACTGCGAAAAATTGGAGAACTTACATATCTCCCCAAATTTTGACTCTTCACAACCATAAATAGAATCTGTATCTTGGTCGATTCCACCAGTAAATTTCATTCCACTCAAAATCTAATAATTCTCTTCTCACGATTTAGTAATAATATTTAATTCAATTTCCCATTAATTAAAATATAGTTTATTCAACTGCCTCTGGTCGGTTTAACAATTTCTTACATAACATTCTGAAAATCACATCATCTGAAGTGATTTGGCAACGTTGGCACACGCCCACAATTCGTTCCATCTTTCTACACAGACATTGACAACCTTCGGCCTTCTGTCAAAGGGTTCATCTCACTCATTATTCCATGACCACCATTTTGTGCAATCATCAAGTGGCTTCACGATGTAATGCTTTAATGTTTTTAAATAATTTTTAATCTGTTTTTAACTTGTTATTGTCATATTTTATATAATTTTGACCATTGTACATCTATCCAGCTCTCACCATGTTACTGGACGTTTCCCTCATCCTATAAAAGTATAAAGAGTCCTCTTTGCTTAAATTTTGTCGAAGTACCCAACAAAAGGCGGAAGCTTTAATTTTTCACCTAACTGGTCTAGACGACAATGACCACGTCTCAAGTTATATATATACAGGGTGACTTCGAAGTTGAGTCATTTATTTTAACAGTGAGTAGATCTGATCAAAAGAAATGTTTTTTTCCTTTACCATTTTTCTGGTAAAATTAAAGTAACAAAGTTATAGCCCTTTGGAAGTTTGAGTACCGCCCTGTTCAATAATACTCGTAATATCATGTGCTCGTGTTTGGCAACAACGGATATAATCCGCCTCGGTTCATCGCATCGGAAACAAAAAAGCGAAAGAATTTGGAACGATGTTTTACAATTATTTTCTTCAGTTCAGTTATACATACACTCAGTGTCAGTCGGTAAGGCGTGTGAATAGTGCCTGGCGTGGCTCAAACGAAATAAAAAATGGCACATGTTTATGCGGATCGGTTTCCCAATCGAGTGCAACCAACCCCTCGTGTCTTTGTTAATGTACGTATGTAGTACAACGGGCTCGTGAATCAAGTGACTTAAGACCTCACAGGGGATCTCACGATCAAATACAGGTCCGCACTGAAATACTTGTCGGGAGGATACTTTATAAAACAAGGTAAACATTTTTTTTTAATTTTTTTTTATTTTTACACACATATTTTGGTTTATCTTCCTTCTACAATCATTATCTGAAAATTAACACTGCATCGGTGGCGCGGGGTATTGAGTACCCCACTTCAAATTTCAGCGGCTATACGTCCGGAGTGGGGATGACTAGAGCTACGCGCATCCAGGTAATCTTCAGCAGTAGAGTGCCCAACGTATTAGTGTAGAGCTCGCTAGTTTGTGTGCGACGGTTAGATTTTTGTTGGCCTAGACATTCGCAGTGGGGCTACTCAATACCCCACGCCACCACTCCCGTGACACTCGTGTTTTTTCGCTTATTTCTTTTGTAGGTTTTTACAGTTGGTTTTTAGGTAACATAAATACTATAATTGTAACTTATTTATAGTTTTACATAATGACACGCCCTGAAAAAGCTAGTACCGATCCAGCTCAGTGGATGAAATGGTTGGAGGAGTTGGAACAAGAGGAAGGCGCTGATGAGTGGTCAGAATCGGACTCAGAAGATGAAGACATAGATCAAGAACCGGATGATGTTCAAGAGGAACAGGGGCTCATCGAATCAGAAACGGATATGAGCGAGGTACAAGGTGAAGTACTGGATGAAGGAATACGCTCTGAACCCTACTACACAGGTAAAGATGGCCAAACCATTTGGAGTAAAATAGCGCCTGCCACATCACGCACTAGGGTGCACAATATAGTTGTCAAAGTCCCTGGTCCTCTTGGACATGCAAGAAACGCTAAAACAGTTTTGGAATGTTTCGATGTTTATATCAACAATCAGATGATTACTATGATTACGAACTGTACTAATATCAAAATTGAGACAATCAAAGAAAAGTATGCACGTGCAAGAAATGCTAAGCCTACAGACGAATGCGAAATTAGAGCATTTTTGGGAATTTTATACATAACAGGGGTTCTAAAAGAAGGTAGACTAAATACTGAGGATATCTGGAATACTGATGGCACTGGAGTAGACCTTGTTTACTGCACAATGAGTTGCACTCGATTCAAATTTTTATACCGTTGTATTCGGTTTGATGACATACGTGACAGACCTGGGAGGCGAGAGTTGGACAAACTAGCCGCTATACGAGAGCTGTTTGAATTATTTGTGAATAATTGTTGTTCATCATATATGCCAAGCAGCTATGTCACTATCGACGAACAGCTCATCGCATTTAGGGGCAAATGCCCATTTAGGCAGTATTTGCCCTCGAAACCAGCCAA